AAAAAAATTCATAGCTATCTTCAACCATTCTCCCAAAGATTTGCAGACTATCCTTGAACTTTTACCCAAGTATTTATCGGCTATCATTAACCACTACAACGTTAAGGCCATTCTCAAATGTAGAAGGATATGAAAATCAAATAAATAGAGTTCTACACCTCGACCTCTTTATGAATGTTTAAGAATAGGACTTGCCCAGTATAGAATGAGATTATACACTCTTTGAAAATATAAAATCAACCAATGAATATGAGTGTATATTACTATATCACAAGCTCAATATGTGTTTGTGAAAATTAGTATAGAATCAAGACTCTTTTATGCCAAAATATGAAGAAATAAGAATGAAGTAAGAACACAACTTGAATATGAGAATGGGAGATTAAGAAGGTATTTGGGAGTAATTAATTTGTAGATAAAGTAATTTCCAGAAAATCTGAAAGCAAAATCATCTCATAATTGCTTCTCTGAGACAGTGTTCTATGTACAAAATAGTGGTGGAGAAAAGCAGAAATTGACATGTAAAACAGAGTGAAATCACTACCACTTAAAGGAGGAGCTAAATTTTTAAAAACAGTGCACTGTCAAACACCCTCAAAAGCTTGAATTATTGTAGAAAAATGATGGGTTACAACATGTTCTATAGCTGAATATCAAAAGTGTCCATTTATGACTATTGGGGATCAATTAGGAGCAATTCTGGCTAATCAAATGTGATTAGATTTAAAATCAGCATTTTGAAAAAAATCCATTAAAAAGGTAGCTATAATACTGGTACATGGTAGTTTGGAACCGTTACACGGTAATAAGGTACCGGGTGCCAGTAGCATAGGTATCGAATCAGGCAAAATCATTATGGCATTCGCTAACAATGCAATAGGATGGCTACTATGAGGCGGTGCCTAGATGTCATTGTAGGTAGCAGACCATTGTGTTGATTTTTCTAGTTTTGGTCGAATCCATTCTATTTTTGTTTAAAACCTTTTGCATATCAAATCAAAAGTGATTATAAAACAATTTTTAACACATTTTATGAGCATATTTTATCTTGTGAATGTAAGCATATAAAATCACCTGTTTGAATTTTCAATTTCGTTCTTAAGAACATGTTCTTAATAGATTCTTGTTGTTTGTGAAACACTCAAACAAACATTAGCTCATATATTTTTTATTAACATCAAAATATGAAATTTAGGAAACCAAGACTAACACACACTATTGCCCTTACCCTTTATCTCTCACCCCACTGTCCTTCGTCTCTTGCCAAAACGCGCCATCCGCCCCTACCCCTTCCTCCCTCTATCCCCATCTGTTAGCCCCCATACTCCTCAAATAATCTGTTTTATTTTTCTAATTTGATCGTGGTTGATCTGATTTTATTAAAGTCTAATCTCATCTAATTCAATTCACCTTTAAATTAAAGTAATTTTGATCAGGATTCTATAATATTGTTGTTGTTGGATACCAACTTTTGTATGATTTATTAAGTTATTATTGTTGTTATTTTCAATCTGATCTGATTTTATATGATCTAATTTTAATAATAAAAACTAATACTCCGTAAGTAATAAGAATAAGTTGATGAGAACAGCCTCCTAAGATATGTATTTTTTAACTTGTACGGAGTATAACTTATTCTAATTTGAATCAGATAAGATAACTAAAATTCATGTCACACAAGAGCAAACGATACTAGAAACAGTCTAAAAAAATAAAAAATAAGCAAATTAAGCCAAACATTAATAAACTCAGATAGAACTGCTCAAACCAAACGATGAGAACAAGATCTTAGTATATCCCCTTCTCCTTGTATTTTTGTTTACTTTTCTATTTCAAACCGTCTTATTAGTTTTGTCCAGTTATATTTATAGTAAGTTTTTGAATTACGAATTATCAATTTGTCCCTAACTCAAAATAATTTACTTGGAGGTGATAGTGGCCAAGTTCATCGGTCGTGGCATTTTCTATCACATCCCAATAAATTTATCAATATTATTTGTCCTAAACTTCATAGAACAAATAAAATAGATTTCATATGTACACAAACAATTTTCTTGCCTTCACTTCATTTTCATTCAATCAGGCACACAACCAATGTTGTTAATGAATAATCGATTTTGTCCCGGGGTTAGGCAATTTGTTGATATTCACTTAAACCTATAAAATTAAATCTTTACCAATACAATCAATTTTCTGCTCCTAATTTTTCAAAAATAAAGTCGTTGCACACATCAATTATGGTTCAACAACAACATTTTTAATTTGCAATCGCCATTTTGAATTTCTATTCTATATATTGATCATTTTGTTTTATTATCCTCACTCACAAACATCCTTTTTATAAGGACATTCCATACAATTCAAGGTCAAAACACAATTTTGTACAAATTTCTTGTGTCATCTGTGAAAAGACGGGTATAACAGGAGATTAAAAAATTCTTCTTCCAAGTCGACCACCATTACATCATCAAGGAAGAAGACGGCTATTCAAATAATAGAAGAGGAAGAAATCATCTACCGCTACAATCACAAGTCGTTCTTTTGGTTCCAAATGGTGAAAGAGCTAGAGAGACTCCGCAATTTCTTCACCACCTGAGATATCACTCCTCTTGGTACCTCTCCGTATGTAGGCTTCTTAGAGGCCAAGGGCTATCGCACTCTTGCCTACACCCTTAAGGAGTGGGGCGTCAATTCTCAACAAAAGCAATTGTTGATAGAGAGACTAAATTATTGGTCATGTGTGTATCAATTATCCTGCGACAAAGGTTATGTTGGTAAAATTACACTTGAAGGTTATTGCGGAGTATTATTACACGAGATTTATTTTTCATTATTGTAAAATATGGATAACCTATAAATTAATATTCATTTAATTCTTGTTCTTTGTTTGGGGCCAGCAGTGTATCCGTACATCTTTCAACATCCTCAACCTAGTCAGAATAGTTGCCTTGATCCAACTAATTTACACTATCACCTATTATGTCCAGATTTTATTCATTCCTACTATTTAATACAGAGTGGTTATAACTCATTACCATATCATTTGGACTGTTGGGGTCTCTTACTAGACTAAGCATACTTTAACCGGAAACCAATAAATCCAACATTACAATTATAAAGAAATGGCATTTTTGGTACATTTGCATTAAAACTTTTTAAAATTAATTTGGTAATATTTATAGAAAGATGAAAATTTTATTTTATGCAAGGAAAGGAATCGTATTTTAGTTTTATCGAGATTTTTTTTCAAAGTAGCCGATACGTGAAATGGAAATAATAAGGACAAACAAATTCAAATCCTAGACAGAGCATATAGGGGTGAACATGGTTCCAGTCCAAAACCTTGACAGTTCCAAAGTCATACATGTAGGGTAGGGGGACATGAAACCGGACTAGGAACCACCATCGGGGGGGATATTTGAAAATTGATACAATTATTCATATTCATATTCATTTTTTATTCGAATAATTATTACTATTCGTATTTGATTTGATATTAAATTAAAATATTCGGTTTGCATTCGTATTCAATTACAAAATTTCAAAATTTAAGTTTTTTTTACATTTTATAGCTTCAAAATTATTACCCAATAAATTAATCATATACTTGGTACCACAAATGACATGTTCACAACAACACCACCACCAAAAACAATTCAATTAGATCACACGAGATTAGAGTCTCGGGAGAGTGTAGGTACGCAAACATTGCCCATACGAAGAGGGTGTTTGGGAGTGATTAACTTGTGGATAAAGTGATTTCCACAAAAGCCGAAAGCAAAAGCACCTCATACCTGCTTCTCCGAAACGGTGTTCTATGTACAAATTAGTGGTGGTGAAAAGCAGAAGTTGACATGCCAAACAAAGTAAAATCACTTCCACTCAAAGCAGAAGCTAAATGATTAAAAGCAGCGCACTGCCAAACACCCTCGAAGTGCTCTGTATGTAAATTATGCTTCACATTTATTATGAAGTAAATATATTAGGCATAAATGTTTATATTCCAATTCGAATATATTCGTTAACATATCGAATCGAATACATATGCATTCGTATTTGTATTCGTTTCTTTTCAAATTTTAATAAATATTTATATTCTTATTCATATTCACTTTTTCGGATACGAATCATTTCGAATATGAATCACGAATCGAATCAAAATTATTCGTTCGTTTTACAACTCTAATTCCAATTTGGGTTCCATTTGTTTGTTTTTAATTTTGATTCACTTGAACATCTATATGTATTTACATTTTTAATGCTTATTCACTTTCTATTTTTACACCTCTTCAAAAAAGTTGAACTGAAATCATCGGTAGAATCCGAATTCATCCCTTCTTCCTACACGCTTCTATCCCATAAATCAAGAAGTGTCGGTATTGAAACTCGAACCAAACTAGAATCGACTCGTGTCCGTCCAAAGTACATACTCTCTCCGTCCAATAATTTCTGTCACACTTTGTTTTTTGGGTTATCCAAAAATTTATTTTCCGTTTCCTATTTTGGGAAAAAAAAACTTTAAAAGAATGTACCATTAGTCCATTACACACTCACTTTTCATCTACATTATTCACTTTATTATATCACATCAAGATTACACATGAAAATTCTTTATTTTAATTTTTTTTTAATCTGTGAAGTGAAAACGAGAAAAAAATTATTGGACAGATAGAGTACATTTCAAGATGCCATGTTGATTTCCTTCCCCCCCTATTGTTTTTGCCTATTCAAATTCATCAATCATGAAATTCTAGTCTTTAGAAATGGTCCCTAAAAAATTGCATGTAGGGTGGAATCAATCCTCTTTAGCATTAAGGGATTTGGATGGGCGGTAGTTCTGCCCCTCCCCATCACGCACCCACGCACCACTTCCATAGACAAAGTCTTCTTAACTCCCTTACCTTTCTTTCCGACGTTTTCTTCTCTACCATAATTCCAAGATTTCTTTGCTTCTTTGCCTGCTCCCAATTTATTATTATTATTATTTTCAAAATCATTTGCTAAAAATAAAAAAAAAAAGCTTCACGCTGTGTTGTTCTTGAATCTCGAGGAAACGCCTTGTGCATCCATCATCCTATTCGCGTAACCACCACCCAACTCACTCTTCCTTGCCATAAATTCAATCCATCTTCTTGAAACCCGTCAGTTACTTTTTTTTTTGGGTTTTTTTTTTGTTTCTATTTAATCACTGTCAAGCATTTCTAGGCCAGTCCCATTTCTCTCTTGATCTTCAAGCAGGTATGCTTTATTGCTTTTTGTCCCTTTTCTTTTTATTTGATGATGCTTTTGATGGAGTGAAGGTATGGAGATACAGATTGTATCTTTCTTTGATTGACTTGGATTGGGGTAAATTTTGCAGGGCTATAAGGAATAATTTCATTGAATTGGAAGATTTGTCTCTTCTGGGTAATTTTCTATTTATATACCCTCTTTTTTTTTATTTCTACTGTGGGCAAATCATGCATAAGGATTTGATTGTAGTTTGCTTTGATGTCTTTCTGTTTTTTCATGTGTGGTGGTATGAATTTAGTATGATCAAGTGCTGATTTTGATGCAAAGTATGGGGGGCAAACAAATATTTTAACGGAAGTCATGGTTTTTCTCTCTTTTGGGGACTATTTGTAAATGAGGAAAATAAAAAACTCAAGCTTTTCAAAGAAAGAAACTATTTTTGTTATTCCTATGATGATGATGGTTTGTAGTATTATTTTTGTTGTTGTTATTTCATTTTATGGATCTTGGCTTTCGGTGATCTCTTTATACTGTTATGAGCCATACTTTATTCATCCCAAAAGAGAGGTTTAAAAATTTTACTTGTTGCAGAGAAATGTTATCTCATTTCATAAAAAGAGTTAATTATGTATGTGAGTCTAGAAAAGGATCCAAATAAGTTCAATATGTTAGATTTTTACTTGCACAAAAAATGCACTGTAAAAATGTAAGAGTAGGATTCCATGTTTTTTAAAGATCTGAACGGCCAAAAAGACTTTTACATTCACCTACCATGATTCTTTTTCTGGGATGGAGCAATATCAATATCTGTTTTTAACCAATTTGCAAGATTAGGAGGATCCAATTTGTGTGAGGATGTGTGATTGAATTGCATTTAGTTGCTCGCAACATTTGTTCCTTCATTTACAGTGTTGTTTAGTGTAGAATTAACCATTGATTTAGCTTATTGAATATTCTGTAAATCTTTTAAAATGCGACGACTGAAGTAGCACTTAATAGTCACCGTGCATATAACAAATCAATGCACATTTCACAACGGTTAGAAACAAGAAAATTTCATTTTTCCCTCAAATTTCATGTATGCATATTGCTCTAAGATATTGTATGTTTTATGTTGTTGCTTTAACAATGGAATCTATTGTTAGATTGCTCATAACACAAGTATTTTTTCTACTATTCTGTAGCTGCAGCTGTGTGCTTAAATTTTTACTGGTTTAAAAATGCTGGGAGAAAGCAACAACAACTACAACACAATTCCTGTTTTTCTTGATGAGAATGGCTTCCGGTACCCAACTAATGCGTCAAATCAGCTCCAGTTGTTTGGAAACTGTACGTTCCACCTCATTCTCTCAACTTATTTGGCATTTTGATTTTTCTAAACCACGATTTATCTAGTCTAGAAGTGTTTGCTTTGTGCAACGGTTTGTTGTGTTCATTAATTCACACGCTTTGCTTTGCATTTCTTTTCATATCTATGACTCACTCTCCATGTAGTCTCAAGCTTGTATGGCAGAAGTTGATTTTTTTTTTCATTTGAAGTTTCTCAAGAATGAGCATTTAGGTGTCAATTTCCTTAATGTAAAAATTTTGAACTATTTAAAGTTATTTCTCTCACTTTTGGCACCTCTTTTAGTCTTAGGAACATACATCATTCTTTGTCCAAAAGTAAAAAGTATCAAATTTTAACAAAAAATTTTTGTATCTCGTTGAATGTAGTGTGCTAGAAATTGCATTTCAAAAGTGTGAAAAAGTACCAAATTTTAACACCATTTTTCGTATAGCGCCGGAAATGGTTTGTTAGAAATTGTATTTCAATTAACCATGCTCTGTTTTATATTAAAGATTGCTGTTTTTATGCTCAAGGGTGAAGGTGAAAACAAAAAACCGCTACTGTCAAGCACATCTTCTTTATCTTTTTCAGTAAATGTAGCGATCTTAATCATTCGGTTTCTTGAAACTGCAAGCATTTTTTTGAGATATTAACAATTACAATTTATATATATTAGATCAAGCCACTATACCCGTTGGATTCAGCATGGGTCCAACAAATTATTTTGGGAGCGAACATACCAGCACTCCTCTAGTCAGGCCAAGTAAATGTGGAAGAGATGTAGAGAACATTGCCATGCAGCATAAGCTTCAAATTTCCTTGAATAATAATAATAATAACAATAATAATAACAATATGGGTCTTGATGAAGCCGATCCACCAGTGAGGATGCCCACACACAACCAAGTTTCAACCGGTTTAAGGTTGTCATATGATGACGAGGAACACAACTCTTCTGTCACGTCAAGTGGAAGTATGAGCACTCCATCATCAGTAATGTTGTCTTTGACTGAAGGTATTAAAATGGAACTTGACAACCAAAAGAGAGAGTTTGATCAGTACCTTAAGATTCAGGTATGTGAGCTCACAAATCACAATAGAGTTTTTTCACAATGTTTGTTTTCTGATCGTCCTCTGATGTTTTTGTTTTGGAGATTAACAAAAAAAACTCGATAAATCGATTTTAGAAGTTCGTTCAAACTCTCTTTCTTATATTTGTTATATGTATAGAGTCCACGAGTCTAAATCTATGTAAAAAAAATTATTAATTGATTTTGGTTTTTCTTTACATTTGGCATTCCCTTCCCCTCCATTTCCAGGCTCCAAAATTGAAACACACTAAAAGACATTGTCATTCTTGGACATTAACCGTTTCCCACTTTCCCCTACATTAATATTTTAAATTCATCACTACTTAAGGGCCTGTTCTTTAAAGCTTGAACTCTTAACTTCCAGTTTCTTTCAGTTCTTTCCAATTTCTTCCAGTTTCTTCCAGTTTTTTCCAGTTTCTTCCAGTTCCTTCCAGTTTCTTCCAGTTTCTTCAAGTTTTTTCCAGTTTCTTCTAATTTCTTCCAACTATATTTATTTTCTTCAAATTCTTCCTATTTTCTGACAAATCACTCTAAAAAATATATATTATTATTATTATTATTATTACAACTTTTTTTTTAATTACAACTTTTATGGATAAATGGTTATATAGAATATTTAAAAAAATTACAACTTTTAGTTAATAATAAATAGTTATTATTATTATTACAACTTTTTTTAATTACAACTTTTAATCTACATGAAAAATTAGGAAACTATTTAAAAAATTATGGATAAATAGTTATATAGAATATTTTTTAATCTAAATTTATATAAGGTAAATTACATTTAAGGGCCTGGAAGAATAATATTATGAAACCAAGAGAAAACTACATTTTGAAAAAGAAAAAATGACCCAAGAAGTGTAATATTTATGCTAATTTTATATTCTAATTATTTTTTTTAAACTAGCTTTTTATATATGAAAAATAATACTCATAATATTTTTTTTATCTTAAAGACAATCATTAAGATAACGTGATAACACCACCACTACCACCACCAACAACAGGAATAATAATAATAATAATAATAATAATAATAATCTATAACAACAAGAACCACACATAATTTTTTTAAAAAAGTTTTTTAAGATTTTTCAATTTTTTCTAGTTTTTGCAGTTTCTTCCAGTTTCTTGCAGTTTCTTCCAGTTTCTTCTAATTTCTTCCAGTTTCTTCCAACATCCAGCTCTTTTTTTCCAGTCCTAAAGAACAGGCCCTTACTATGGAGTTGTTGGGTACTTTGCATTGTACTTCAAAATATAGGGACAAGTTTGGTAACCAATAGCAATCATCCCACTTCCACCCCCTCTCCAAGCTCTGACAAGGCCAAAGAGAGTTTTTGCTTATAAAGTCCGTTTAACCAAAGGAAGTACTGCCTGAAAGGTCATTTTATCCAAAAAAAAAAGGAGTCGTTTTTGACAAAAGAAGCCAACTTTCCTTTTGTAGCTTGGAAAAATAATGTTAAAAGATGCTTCATTGGAATTATTTGCCTAACCTCTACACTATGTTTTGGTTAAAGGAATTTGGAAGGAAAAAAAGAAAATTATTTTCTCTCATTTTCCTTACCAAAATGGGAGAAATTTGGTTTTCCTTCGTAATAGTACATTTTGTCTTCTCATTTTCTTTTCCTCTCTAACCAAACAAGAAAAATAGTTTCCCACATTATGTCTTTATTTTCTTTTCTTTTCCTTTTCAAATTCCTCGAACAAACATTGTGTTAAAAAGGCTAGACATCTTAATGTTCATAACTTGCTCTGCAAATGGTGTGTCTAACAGGAAGAAGCACTGACAAAAGGGCTCCGGGAGATCAAGCGAAGGCACATGGCGTCTTTTTTGAGTGCCATACAGAAGGGCATCGTCACAAAGCTGCAGGAGAAGGATGTTGAGCTGGAGAACATCAACCGGAAAAACAAAGAGTTGGTTGAGAGGATGAAGCAGACGGCCGCTGAAGCACAGAATTGGTGCTACAGGGCAAAGTACAACGAGAGCATGGTCAACATGCTGAAAACCAACCTCCAGCACGCAATGCACAGTGCCGCGGCCGCTGCTGATCAGAAGGCCAAAGAAGAAGGGTTCGGTGACAGCGAGATGGACGATGCCACCACGTCCGGGATTTACCCAAACTTCGCCCTCGGCATGTCTCCGGGGGCCCCACGGAAGAAGAGTGACATCAGCATGGTCTGTCGGTCGTGCAAATCGAAGGAGGTGTCGGTGTTGTTGATGCCATGTAGGCATCTGTGTGTGTGTAGAGATTGTGAAGGGTCTGTTGAGGGGGTGTGCCCGGTGTGCAGGGTGGTTATAACAACAAGTGTGCAGGTGTATCTGTCTTGAAAGAATAATACCCAACCAAAATATGGTACAGTTCAATGAATCTTATTACAACAAATATATATATTAACTTTGAAAATCTGGTTTGACCCTTTTTTTCATATGAAATGGGTTTGACATTTTGGATGATGCATTTTGCCTTCCATATATTTTGCATTCTAGAGACAAAAATGTTAGAAACCAATCAAGTTTGACATTTGACAAGTGCTTCACAGATATGCACAGATAATGAGTGTCTCGATATGTCTATCAAAAACACTTCTAGAGATTTCCATTGTTGGCATTGACCAGAAAAAACCCGGGTCATGGCCAATACTCATGACCTGGGCTAGTCATGACATTGCCTAGTACCTACAAAGTGTTTAAAGCCATAAATAATACTCTATCTGTCTCAAATTACTTTTTTTTAAAATTTTCTTTTAGACTTTACAAATTAATTTTCCTTTTTGTAAAAAGTTTTTTGTGGCTCACTTTTTTATCACTTATCAACATCACTTTCAACAACACAATTTTATTTTTCTTAAACTCTGTGTAAAATCAAACTAGAAAGATTAATTTAGAACGGCGAGAGTACGAATCATAAGAGAGATATTTATGTGTCGAATGGCGATTATACTTTGAATAATATTTCGCCATTTGTGTCGAGCAAACAAATTTTACATAAAAATTTCTTGAGTATGAAATCTTTTGTTGAATCTTCAACCACGATCTTTCATGGCATCTCATTAGTTTTGGGCTTCAGGAAAACAACCATTGTCAACAACCATGGCCGACAAAATCCAATGATTTGCAAGATATCCTAAACTATTGACACAAGAACGATTGACTAGAAAATGTTTTGTAAAGAAACAAAAGAAAAAAGAAAACAAAATATTAGAAAAATAATAATGATAATCTAGCCACATATAATTGTTGAAATAATTTCTACATTCAATGTTACTCCATTATGTATAGAATGGTACGATATATTTTGAAATCGTTTTATACCAAATTTTATTCAAATTAATTTGATTCCAAACTCTGATTGAATTGATTATTTGATAAATTTTGAATGAAAAGTTCACATTTAAGTTAGTGATTAAAACTTAATTTTTCAATTTTTTAATTGTGAAATTTGCACTAAATAGTATTAAAACAATGTCCACTAATGTTGGACATTTAGTTTCAACAATATCCAGTACCGGTGGACATTTTACTTGATCAATGACCAGTGGATATTGAACAGTGGTGCTACATTAGAAAATAAAAATATATAATACTACATTGGGAAAGTCACTATGTTTTAATACTAATTAGGTAAATTACCCTTTTTAATTTAGTATGAGTATTGATTTTCTATATTATACGTGCGGAAGAACAATATATATATTTTCAATTTTGTTTAACTAGTATCACACCTGTGCATCATATTTACGTTATTTATATATATTGGTGTCATTTTTGACAAAAAGACATAGATCATATAATGAAATATAAAGTTTTCATTATTTTAAAGCACGAATATCCTATGAATTACGGAGTATAAATTTTGGAAAACTTTTTTATAAACTACAGTACTAGTACAATTTGTGAGAATGTCCTCTGCGTTGTACTCCCTCCGTCCTAAATTGTTTGGGACATTTTGAAGGACGTGCAAAATATCATTTTTTAAAATTATTTTATTTTCAAATTGGTAAAGAAATAAAAATAAAAATTACACTGTTCAAAAGTACACCAAAAGTATTAGAAAACAAGATGCGACGAAAATTTTTTATTTCATGAAATGGTCAACTAAAATGAATAAACAAACAAAAATTCTCGAGATACCGAAATAGTGACTGTAACCTTCTTTTTGGGACGAAGGGAGTATATTGGAATCTTCAAGTCATTACGATTTGTTATTCTTGAAACCACAACATATAGTTGTTCATGAGTAAATACTGGTTTCAGTAACAATTATCCCACGTGTTTTAAAGATTGGCCTTGACTTTTATTAACCGTCATATAACTACAGAGAATTATCTTCTTTGAAACTTGAATGAAATTTTTTCATTAGATAGTGTTAATGGTAGTCTTGGAATAATAACTTCTTCACTCATGATTTCAAACTCTAAAGAGCTAACATATGACATTGCTAAGAGCTAACCTGCGACATTACTAAGAGCTGACATGTGTCATTATTTATGCAACTTTTTTATCCAACCTAATTTATGAATTGAATAAAAAGAAAATAAAATCATTTTTTTGTTGTCTTTTCTAACACCTAATATGTCACAAAATTTTTTATATATAAAATATAAAATTAAAAGCTTGGTGATGGGATTAACCCGATCAGATGGCGGACCAAGAACGGAATCAGAATAAGGAAAATATAATCTCGCAATAATATTCTTAATTGGGTCTCTCCAGCCTCCCTTTTTTCCTCCTTTTATAAGTAATCCTAGTTTCTAAGTTAAGATTACACATTATAGAAGGTTTATGGAGATCATGTGGTCGTGATTCCCTTCTTTTCTCCCTTCTTTTCTGGTCTTGATTTCTTTCCATGTCCCCACGATTTGGAGTGTGGGCCACGTGTCCTGTTCCTTTCTCGGACTGGATTGTCTCAGTTCAGCCCATGATTGAGCCGTCCGCCTCGTCACCCATTGCTCCTCGATGGGCCTGATCCGTTACGCGCACCTGGACTCGTTTACCTTACACGATTGTGGGCCTCTATCGGGCCTAGAGTCGGGTTCATCAGACCCGATATCCATCACTTGGTAAGAAATATTTCAGTAAATATAAATATGGGAAACAAAAGGGATAACATACGCTATAATAATTTTATATACGCTATTATAATTTTATATGCGTTTACGCTATTATAATTTTATATACGCTATTAATAAGGGACACAGGAAGATAGATTTCCCAAGAAGATCAATAAGGGACGCAATAAGGGCAGGTCTATCTTGTATGCATTGTCATTAGCCTTAGCTAAGACTTCGAACAAACCATCTTCTCGGGGCAGTAGTCTCCGGGCTGGAAATCTATCTTCTTGCGTCCCTTATAGATTTCACAAGAAGAAGATATACTTTATTGATCTTCTTGCTATCCCTTAATATACGCTATTATACTTTTATATTTCTCACATTTATCCTTTATCTAAGAGCATATTTTTTTGAGTTAGAAAAATTAACTTCTAATATTTTCAATTCTTTCAAGTTTCTTCTAACTTTTTCTAATTTTTTAAACAATGATTTGAAAATTTATTTAAGTGTATTTTTAATATTATTTTCTTCTAAATTATTTGATATTTTCAATTTTTTCTAGTTTATTCTAACTCTTTAATTATTTTCTTTACATTTACCATGCCTATTATTATTATTATTATTATTATTATTATTATTATTATTATTATTATTATTATCCACTAGCTCCGAGCCGATTTTGAGAGGGACTCCAAATTCTTTTGGATATCTTCAATGAATTTGACATTTTATAATTTTTATTACTATAATGTTATGTATAAAAGGGGATGCTAGGAGTACACAAAAAGTATACCCCAAATGTACACCACCCTCTTCATTACTACTCATTTTTATTTATTTATTTATTTTATTCTACATGCCAAAATATGTGACAATGGAAGGAGTACATTGGTCTACATTTGGGGTACACTTTTGGTGTATCTCTAGCATTTTTGTTTCATTTTGTTGAGAAAACACGTACACTGTATACATTTCTTTCTTTCTTTTTAAACACCTACTCTTTCTTTATTTTTCTTCTAAATATTTACCATAATTAAATATTTTTCTTTTGCAAAATTATGATGTGAAATTTATTACAAAAAAGTTTAAAATTTCACATGGGTATTGTATTAGTCAAAAAAATAAGTATGATGTGAAATATCAACTTTTTTTTACAAAAGTATGATTTGAGATTTACTACAAAAAAGTTTATAATTTCACATGAGTATTGTTTTAGTCAAAAAAAATTAAGTATGATGTGAATTGAACTATCATCTTTTTTGTAGGGGTATCATTGATCTTCACATTGTTGTGTTGAAATTACTTTACCATTTTTCCTTTATAAAAAGAATTCAGCAATCTTATTTATGTGCACTATCAAAATTGACTTCATTGCTTCTTCTTCTTCTACACATTCTTCTATCTACTATTTTGTACTATCACTTTTTTTTGTATAGAATGGATCAATGATTCCAACACAATTATCCAAATCAAAATCGCAATTTACCCCAACAAATTCCTACCAATCCAAATTTATGCACTCAATTACCAACGAATCCAAACTATTTACAATCATATTCCCCAATGTCCATGCATCCCTACAACAATCTTTTTCAATTCTCGCAAAAACCTTTGCCACACCTCATGGGTAGTCCTCCTTCACACTCTTCCAAGACTGGGGAGAGTATTAATGAAGCTGAAACCCATGACCAAAGCCAAGGGGAGAAAATTAGTAGAAAAAAGAAGAATTGAACATGGGAAGAATATTCGTGTTTGGTTAGTGCAACTCATCGGCAATTACATACGGATTTGATGGAGCATGTTTGGCGTTTCAATAACACCACATAGTATTATTTAAATTTATGTTTAACTTTTATGTAGTTCGTCGAGATATTTTAATTATTGTATCCATGTTTTCAATTAATGCGATTAATATTCTGTCATTATAAACAATTTTTTAAATATTTTAGAATAATTAAATTAAATATTTTTTGTTGAAATAAATTTAATTAAATTTTTTAATTTTATTAATGAATTATAATGTTATTACCAAAACCATAAAATGAAGTACAATTATATTTTTCATTTATTTGTAAATTCATATAATAGTACATAATATAAATATTTAATAAAAAATCATTTAAGCCGTCCTAAAACTATCTTCCCACTTTTTCTTTTTCTCCGTCCTAAAACTATCTTCCCAGTTCTTAAAAAAGGATGTAAATAGAAGATATTACCCCATCTGGCTTCCTCCGTCTTTTGTCTCCCGTCTTCGTCTCTCTTCTTTCTCCCTCTTCCTCATCACTTCTTCATCTCTCCCTTCCTCCATCTCTCATATCCAGGTAATCCCCATCTTTTCTCCATCTCTCTGAAAAATCAATAGATCTAATCCTTTTCTTCTCTCTTCCCTCTCATTCTTTCTTCGTCTCCTCAAAATCAGATATAGATCTAAAGTCCCTCTTCCCCTTTCGATCTACTCTCGCGATGCTATGCCCCTTCATCTAAAGTCCCTTTCGATCTAAAGTCCCTCTACCCCTTTCGATGCTATGCCCTTTCAATCTAAAGTCCCTCTCCCCCTTCGTCTCCTCAATTTTTGGTTAGTTTTTTTAGTTTTCTTTTTCATTTCTTTGGATGAAATTAGGTTTTCAGCCGCCTACTGTTGTAACGCCACAAAATATGGCCTAAAATTTATTATAAAACAAAAGTAGTTTTTATCCAATAAGGAATATTTGTACGTTTGACTAAAAATAAATGGATTTTCAAAATAATGACTTTTTGTTAAAAAGTTATATTTATGGATATGTCTCGAAGAGACGAATCCAACGGTACATTTTATAAACCAATCTAATTTGTAGATTTCAAGTTATGTCAATTTTAAATAGTAAAAATTTGTAACTTTGACCCATAAAATAAACTCAATCCAAAGGTGATTTAATAAGATTATAAATCATAATTTTGACACTTGACAACACCATATTTATCATTTGGATTTAATCCATATATTTATATCTCAATCATATTATAAAATTAATTTATGACAGAGACAGACCCAGACATTAAGAAAAATAAAACTTATCAGAAAAATATTTTGATTACGTCAAAATTCTAGTTTTGACAGTCTCATTCCAAAAACACAATTCGTTTTCAATTCGGAGTAGCTTGGGCGAAAAAGCGCGTACCGTTTGGAGTAAACTGTTCAGTTTTGGCTAAAAGCCAAAACTTAATTCTCCAATATCTCCCCAAATCACGTAGCCAACCAAGGGATATCTCACAAGCCTATTTTTCAATCTCCTCCAACTCCAT